AATGCAAATAACTTAAATATCAAAAAATTTCTGAAAGTGTATTCTGAACAAACTGCAAATCTTAACAAACATAGCTAGTAATAGTTTATGTTCAACTTAAACTGCTGCTCCCTCCTCTATCTTAAAACGTGCTGAAAATGAAAACTAATGTTTATGGTGGGGGGCAGGGCAAAGAGCACCACTCTAGTGTGCTGCTGCATTAACATAACAGAATGAGAGCAACACACGAGCAGGACAAAAGGCACAATAATCCTTTTATGTTGATTATCTTGTCTTATCTAGAATGTTTTTACCTCTTGATGGATGAGCATCATTTTGTCCCAGGTCAATGCTGGAGATTGTCTTCAATTCTGATTTATAAACAAAATCATTGGTTAAAATGTGTAAATTAGCCCTTTTCCGTTTGAAATCATTGCAATGGAATAGCACAAAAAACTTTCTATACTTTAATTAGTACCTGAAGGTGGTGCTGATGGGGATAAGGACACAGCTGAGGGCAGTTGCACATTTGTGGAATTCAAAGTCATTTCATCATCAGAATCAGATAGCTCACTGTCTGTAGCTATTTTCTCTGAGGAACACAAATCATTAGTGGATTATTAGATTATGAACACATTAATAAATACTTACATGTATAAAACAACACAAAGCAAGCAGAATGAGTGATGTGTAGCCGATATTAACTTCCACATAAAAAATATCTAAGGAAATGTAAAGTAATTCAGTTGTTCTGTTTTGTCCGTTGTTAAAAAAAAGCATTACTATTAGTGATTATGTTCTACCTTGCGGATCAATGGTGATCTCATCAAGATTCTTGCCCTTGAATTCAGAGAGTTCTCCTTTCTCTAAGGCGAGGAGAACCTTGCTAATCTTTGCCAGCTGTAAGGTGCCTTCAGGTAGCCGGTAATACTGGCGGTGCACTCTGATATCGTGGCCAAGAAAGTCAGCGAGGTCATCCATTTCGTTGTTTTTTAAATTAAGTACTTTGGACATTGTTGCCACGTGCTTCCTTAATTTAGTTGAAGACAATGCTTCTGGGTTTTTTGCCCCACAATGTTGCGCGGTGTGACGTAAAACATCTGATCCTCGATAGTGACTCAGTGCTTCTGGTCTTGCGAACATGAAAATGTTGTCTTCAGGCACACCACAGTTGCGGCGAGTATTAACAAGCAGCTCCATGGATGCTTGCATTTCAGGTGTTAGTAATACAGGCACCTTGCGTCCACGTTTCCCCTTTATCTCCAGACGTTGAAAATGCTTGCATAGCTGCTTCTCAAGCTCCGATAAAGCAAGCTCCGATAAAGCAAGCTCCGATAAAGCAAGCTCTACATCTGGATGAGTTGACCTGTAGCAGTAGTATCTCTTTCAGTAAATGCAGTAAGAAGCATTCTGGAAACTTCTCCCTCTCGTCTTCAATTAAAAAGAATCACATCACACAAAGTTATTTTGGCAAGTTCAGCCCAGTTCTTGCCATTCGGATTATCTTTAAGCTTTGTGTGGCATTTTTGTTTTTGTTCCTTGAGATACTCATGCATTTTCTTTACATCATCAGTGAAGGGAAGAAGTTGAGGTGCATTCCACTTAGTCTCACACAAATTTCTGAGGGCCTTGGAAGACACGGACACACTCCATTTAGTTTTGCATATTTGTTTAAAGACCTGCACACTGCCGACAACTTCACTATTACCTGAGATCATAGCTTCACATTCAATTATATTTGCCATTTTGTTTAGGTTGTGGCCCAATTTCAATGCCAATGATGGTATTTTGACAAAGCCTGTCTCATCATTAAAGCCAGCCACATGTTTGACAGCTTCTATCACAAGGGGAAAATTAGCCGGTATCATGAAGTCAGACATGACATTCAAATTCCCACTTTTCTTTCCTTGAAGGAGCAGTCGTCCGGTTTCCCGCATCTTCTGCCTAATGTAATCATGCTTGGTGACATCATGCCCATGTTTGCTGAAGAGGTGTTCACCAAATTTTAATATGGTCTCGTCTTGGCGGACAGCGTATTTTATTTCATCTTCATTCATATAATTTATCATCTTCCAAAAGGCTACACTTACATTGTTAGGACAATGCACACAGCGCTTGTACTCTGGTTTTCCCTGGCTTTAGAGTACCAACCTTTTTGCTCAGATGACATCGCTTCATGTGCTTCCAAAGGTACTTCCTCTTCAAAAAGGCTTCACAATTAACACAGTGCATATAATCAGAAGATTTTACAGGTGTCTTGGACAGCTGATGTGGGATCACCATTCCCTTTCCTTCTTGAATAACTTGATTATTATGTACACGGTTGCCTTTGTTTCTCAATAAGTTAAACTGTATTCTTCATTCTTTTGAGCCTTTTGGAAATGCAAGTGTTCGGTGCAAGTCAGGTGTAGGGGTTTTCAGGTGCAGGGGTTTTCTCTTACCCTTGCCATGGTGGACTTTTGCAGAAGAGTCATCTGTTTCATCAGATGACGTGTAACTGGGGAGATATTCCTCCTCACTGAAATCCGAGCTTGAAAGGGATTCCTCTCTTTCATCTGCATATCCATACTTTTTCTCATTAACCTAAAAAGTGAGAGATTTCAGAATTGTGGAGCACAGTTAAACTTTTGTTCTTATATTAGACATTACACTTCAAAAAGCCTTAAGTGCAAAAGGTAAGTACAATGCTGCCGACTTCACCACTGTACCCTATATCTTGTCCTCTATGTAAAATAAACCAGGAAAACTCAGCCAAGAGAGGCCACACCACTACACTTACAATAACATTGTCTGTTCTGACGAGTGCAGGTACAGATAAGTCCACAATCTCATTGTTTGAAGCGTGCTCAACAATTATTGTGCTACTGTCACTGGAGATGTCTGAGTTCTGGAAAACAATGTCAGAAAAGCAAAATTGCTTAAATTGATTTAATTTATAATTTTATAACAAACTGCTACAAACAAACACAACTTTAAGTTCAATCTTGTCTCAATAATGACTAGTTGAGGCATAACTAGGTATACAGTGGACAGTGTGGACAATCATACCTCATTCTCCTCATTCTCTGTATCAGCAATGGCTGAAAGAAGTGAAACATGTCAAATCTTTAACACAAATCAATAGAACATCTGAATTTGTCATAAAAACTATACTTGTGAGCCTTGACCCTAAAATGAGAAAGTATGTTTCAACAATGTTACAATG